GTTCCAGCAGATCAAGGAATAGGCTATGTTAGGTCTCCACTGCCTCCACATCCAATATTGTGTTACAGTCCCCAGGGGCCAAAGCAGAACCTATCATATAAGAATTTGTGCCAAAGAAGTTCCGGAATACAAAAAAATAGATGAAAGCCAAATAAAGTCTGTAGGTTTGGGGTTCACAGGAATAAAGGGAGAATTAACAGCATTATATGCAACCACAGTTGCTGTATTAAAAAAAGTATTTAGAAAAAAAGATGTCTGAGGAAAATTAGCTAAAACTGCACTGTAATCTTTACTAGAAATATAGATCCTTTTAAAAAATTCCCTCCAGAAATCTTGTACTTATTTCTACACGCCTTTTTATTTTTTTTGCTTTTATTCAAACACTTTAAATATACTTTGGATGCAATTGATATTTAGATTTTGTTCAGTCCTTACAAGGCTCAGTGGACAGAAGCAATTCAATCAGAAATAAAGAATGATGTTCAAAGCAGATAGGGAGTGTCTCTTCATTCAGTGGACAGAAAAATTAATATCCACAGGACAGCTGCTAAATAGGGCAGATTTTTTTCATTGCTACAGTAGTAAAGCCACACTGATTTTGTACCAAGCAAGCATTATATGCATGAGAAATATGGGTGACAGAACTGAAATTTGCTAAGAAGAGGCAGGGGAGAAACTGCTCTATTTATTTGTAATGGTGAATACCACAGTAAACCACTAACCAGCTGTTACTTTACTCACATTAATGATTTCTACTTTCTTAAAAAAAAAAAAAAAACAAAAACCAAAAACCCAAAACAAACAAACAAAAAAAAGAAAATCAACCAACCAAAAAAAAAAAAAAAAGCTGATTTTGTCAGTAAATCAAAACTCCTCGTTTCACACTTGAAAAGTAGACAGCATTGAGTAAGACATAATAATTAGTCAAACTTATCAGTTTATATCCCTGGTTAGAAGGAAATTAGCTTATCATTCATGATCAACTATTATATAAATAGCCCAGAAATTATCTTCCTTGAAGACCTCAGGGCCAACAGTAGTGGAGGAAATCTGGATGAGCAAAGTAACAGAAGAGGCACGTGCACCCTTGTAAGAGCTGCCAGTCTCCAGAAGCCCCTAGAACCAAACCTGGTGCAGGCAGGTGCACAGGTGCCAAGAGGGCAGGGGGAGGGCACACGAGGCACCTGCCTTGAGTTGCTTCCTGGTTCAGGATGGCTCCTCTAAACTCAGCACAGCCATGTCTGGGATTAAAGTACCAGACAGTTACATACCACTCTGTTTTGTGTCAGAGGTATGAAACCAGGCGTTATAACAACTAAAGCTTGTAAGTAGAAACAGGAGAAGCCCCAGGCTGGAGAGGGCCTTTCCAACATGCTGAGGTCTGGTCAAAGCAAATGGCTCCTTTACAAACTCTGAATGGTGAGAAATATCTGAAACCTAAAGCTATTCAAATAGTTTCATCTTCTGATACATTGCCATGACATACCTTATTCTCAACAGGAAGGTTCTGCATAATGACACCAGCTTTAGCTCCTTAATACAACTGTCTGAAAAGGTAATTTAAAAGTACAGGCTAGGAAAAATCCCCTCCACAGCTCCAAGGCAGACTGGGGATAAAACCACCTTTTTCCCATGGGTCCCAAAGCTTCTTGTAACATCGAGGTCACATAACAACCTGTGCAACACCACGTCTAATCTCTCCTCCCCCAAAGGGAAGACCACATTTTTAGTATGTTATAACAAGAAGTTTCATAATTAGTTTGAACTAGGAGGAGAAAGACAGCCTATGGTTTCTCATGATTTAATCAATGCTTCTGCTAGTTCAGGGCATTAAAAT